TAAAGACAAAAACAAGGATTTTAAACTTCACTCTAAAATGCACAGGCAGCCAATGCAGAGAAGTTAAGACAGGAGTGATATGGGTAAATTTACGTAGGCCCATTAAGAGTCTTGCTGATGGATTTTGGACCAACTGGAGACGGGCCAAGGTAGTGGCATTCATTCCACAATACAGTGAGTTACAGTAATCTAAACATGATTATATAAAAACATGAAATAGTCTCTCAAAGTCTTGAAAAAAGAGGAAAGGCTTGATTTTAGAGAGAAGGAGATGAAAGAAACAAGATTTAACCACAGAATTTACTTGAATATCAAGTTTCAGCTCACTGTCAAGTAAAACACCCAAGTTTTTAACAAGGGTTTTGGCTTTTCGTCATATGACCCCTTTAATAGCACGGCCATTCAAAATCTGAGGGCCTACCATGTGCATAGTAAAGCGATCACTGACAATAATTTTGGGCGGGAATTAATGTAAACACAGATATCAGATACCAGTCGTGTCTATTGTGAATGTAAACTAGAATCCGACCGATATGGGTTTTTTGGGGGCCGATGCCGATACCGATATTAGGGAGTAAAAAGAGACCTATATCGATATATCGGCCGATATTCTTTGTATAGGCTATATTATAGTACAGTATAATCAAATGTTTGGACACACTTCCCATTCGTGTGTCCAAACTATTGACTGGTACTGTATATAGAATACAGTATATACATAAACAGAATATATACACATAAACACATTTTTTGCAATGATAACTCAAATGTGGTGATCAAACTCTTATAATGATGTGACAAACATAGGCCTATGTAATGGAGGCAGGGTATTTAACAATTTAACAATAAACATTATTATTCAAAATGAGTCTGACATCAGTGTACTTAACAGCAAAGTTCAATTATTATAAATAACTTAAAAAATTATATAATTTATTTGAAGCAGCGGACTCGGGTGAAGTTTGAGCTCATCCGCGCATCTCTACACTGACCTGGGTCGCCAGTAGCAAACAATGGAGCGCGCTCTGCTGGACAAACTA